TCTAGCAATATATTTCTACTAATTACATAATATAGGTAATGCTACAAGAGCCTGGGCCGAGAACTTTGGTGCTTGTAAGTATACGGACTTTGTAGCGCAAGCCGTTGGTATCTGCGAGAAGAGATTCTACACGGATTTGGCAAATGATCTGCAAGCGGATTGTCGGTAGGTAAAATTTCACTTCGATTCATGTCGTTGATTGATAACAATCTTCCAGTATGCATCTTTGTCATTATGTTGCAAAAATGTTCAATTCCACTGTTATGTCGACTTTTACTCTCACGAGTTCTGTTTACTTTTGGGTGAATTTTAACCTGAGATGGGTATGGACAGGATAATATTTGTTTGGAGAGTCACCTTAGGCAGTTTTCCGGATACGTACCCGGAAATGTTGACATGACCTGACTGAGCAGACTTTGGAAATACTCAAACAATATTGAGACAATTTTCGGATTTCTTCAGTGAAATCCATCAAGCAGTTGTGCATAACATTCTTTTTGACGTTATGGTTTCGCAAGATTTCTGCTGTATAGCATGCTTACGCAAATTTCATTAATAATGAGAAATATAAATAATACACTTTAATATTAAGAGGGGAAGCCACATCAGTCCTAGCTGGTTTTCAGGCGGGTCCTCTATCCTGGTCGAACTGGAATGTTGTTTTTGTAGAGGGAGGAAAACCGGAGAACCCGGAGAAAAACCCTAGGAGCAACACGAGGACCAACAACAAACTCGACCGACATCTGACACCGGGCCGGAAGCAAATCCCAGGCCACATAGGTGGGAGGAGAGCGCTTTCACCACTGTATCAACCCTGCTCTCCAAAATAAATTAATATTCAATGTTATTTGGTGTACCAAATAATCAGATATTCGAACTTCTTTGTTGGAAATACTCACTAGTATTTCACAGAAAACGTTTTGAGTAGCCATTTAGTATTTATTAACAACCAACACCACCTGCCTTACAGCACTTCCTATGACAGAATGTCAACTTGTTACTTGAAAAAGACCCGGCAATGCCTTGAGGGACACTACAACGAGGCACAAATAGAGCGGCTTGCCAAGATAACGCTGCTGATCCAGAGGTACTTGGGCGCATCTCAGTGGTACTGCTCAAATAAACCCATGAACATTTCATCTTTGGATCCAAGAGTAAGGGCGCTTATTCCATGCACAGATAAACTCTTCACTGAGGGACACAAATGTACCAGAGGATTCCGAGAGATTTTCAACGCTAACAGAAATGATCCCAGTTTGTGCAAGTAAGTGCCCTCAAAATTGGGCAAAGAAGTGTAATAAATATATGTCAGGGCATGTTAAGGGTGACTAACATTGTGATAAGGTCGCGGATAAAATCTATATCATCATGGAAGGGATTTTAAGCAGTAAAAATCCTAACCCTTCTTTCAATTGGTATATTGAGAGCATTCTCAAACGACGTTTTTTACTCAATTGGTAGGGCTTTTTCTCGTTCGAGGAGCTGTACACAGTCTGTTTTTGATCGATACTGTAACGGAACCGTACCAGTGCCAGCAGAAAACCGGTTTAACCCGTTCTGTACCGATCCTGGAAATGAGACCACAATCGCATTTCAAGCTTCAACGAAACCCAAAAATGATACAAACATTTTGTCTAAGCCCAGGCAGCCAACAGCCAGTGGTGCTCGAAGGAACATGCGGGTACTCTCGAGAATGCTGAGCATGGCGGTTGGAGTTGTTAACTTGACGAATGTGGTAAGGAGTCTGGGACTGAATTAAACTCTGGAATGGACTGTTGGAAAATGAACTCTGGATTGTCGATAACTGGCTACGTCATCTCTAATATTATTTCCAAAAAATAAAAGTAATTTATTCAATTAGACAACTTTTAACCTTTAAAGAAGTTATGTGAGATTTAAATTAAATTAACACTGTATGAGTATTACAGCTGAGAAATCCAATACAAAGTCAAAAATCTGTAAGTCAAAGTCTGATTAAAAAAAATAAAACAAACTCTGTTGTCACTTACAAGATAAGGCGTACATAGCAACCTGTTTTACGTCAGATACTGTGTAATAGCCGAGCCCGAGACATATTGTCAGTGTCAACACCTTTTACTGACTGGAGTCTTTATTGGTAATCTTTCCCCTTCTTAAAAAAAGCCAAGAGGAAAAAAACTGAATTTAGCCCATGATTGATTTCCAGTTTTATTTCTTTGAAACCTCATTTAAGTACAATTTTCTTAATTCTATAGAACAATTCTGCATGCATTTTTACTTGAAAGCTTTTGGCACCCCGTTTGTGCCGAGTCATAATTGGCACGGTCCTGTAATTTATTTAAAATTCCTGATTTGTGGCAGTCGGTAGCAGTTACTCGAATACGGATCTTGGATTATCGTGGTACTTATTCACAGATATCCTTACATTGGTTTACTGTCATAGCCTAGCGAAAATTTTGCATAGGTACAGTCAAATGAAATCTTTTGTGCTAACGAGCAACAAGAGAAATCAACACACTGTATACCACCCGAGAAAAAAGGAAAACTACCAAGAAACAATCAAAGAATAAAAAACTATGGTGCGACAAACACA